TCGGGAGTGGTAGTGGTGGTGATAGTGGTGAAAGTGGTAGTCGCAACGATGGCCCGAAATGGGCGCCTCACTCCATTCCAATGTCGAGGGAGCTGATGGGTACTGCACTCGGTGACGGCAGGGTGCAACAACGAGAGATCGGGACAGGGAAGCTGCCGATACCGAGTTTTACGAGGTGACCTTTTTAAGTTGATATGAAGTCTTTCCCCGCCTGTTTATCGGTGTTTTCCATCCTTCTTCTTTATGGCTTGACTTGGTTTTTTTTTTTTTTTTTTTTTTTTTTTTTTTTTTCCCATGGGTTTCATGTTTGGGACATTTGTTATGATTGAAACCTTAACGAATTGTACGGTATCTTCTATATGTTTATATGTTGGGCATAGTAAGTAATAACGGCCATCTGTCTCCATTTGTGATCTTTCTCCTTCACTTTCTCTATCTTCATCTCTCTTTCTCTTTCTCAATTTCCTTCTTTTATCCCCAAACGTCCAGCATCCAATACTATTGTATGGCCTCTCCGAGATGGGAGGGGGAAGCGGGGAGCTACCATGTATTGAATATAAGCTCATATATATATATAATAATATGGGATCAGTTGATAATATACGTATGCCCTAGACAAAGGAAGGGAAAAAAGAAAGTCAAAAAATTCGTGCGAAAAGAGCAATATGTATACGCAGGTCATGTATATACACCATGGGTGTAGGTATAAGTAGAGAATACCGTTAAAATCGAAACGGGAGACTGTACATACAACACTACTCTATATATGAGAGGGGAAAGGGGAGGGGGAAAGAGGGGGGGGGGGAGGCGAGCGATTAGTCTCCTTGTCTATTTAAGGAAAGAAGATCTAATTTGCGGACCTGGGATTTTCAGTCGGCGAAGCAGGCGCAGAAATGTTAAGACAGCCTCCATCAAACATGTTCCCCGGATATATTTATCCCCCTTTCAAACGGAATTATCACTCCCATTCCCAACTCGCAACCCCTCATCAGCTCCATGCCCAGCAGCAGCAGCAGCAGCAGCAGCAGAAGAAATCTTCTTCTTCGCCGTCCCAACCCCACTTACGCCTTTCTCCTGATTAGCACCCAGCCACGGCTTCCTCGCCTCGCCCAACACCTGCCTACCCAAATAGTAAATCCCCTGCCCCAGCATGATGCACACAAACGCAATCGGATACATCCAATGCACCGAATACTTGAACACATTGATCCCAATAATCACGCCCCAAAAGTTCGCCGTGAGCAGGCTAATATTGAAAAACGCCGCCGAGGCCAGCCGGAACAATATCGGCGCCAGCGAGTAGAAGATGAACAGACAGAGCGTGTAGCCCGTCAGATACCCGCCGACCCTGCCATTCCACGTCGCGCCGGCGAAGGACTCCCGGTCGAAGATGGCAGCTTGCACGCCAATGATGAACATCCCGTACAGCCCCAGCTGTCCCAGGACTTCATACATGGGCCGCTTGCTGACGAGGTATTCCTCCGCGACGTTCGTGAGGCCGTAGCAGCTGGCGCCTACCAGGGCGAAAAGGTCACCCTTAATCTGGTTGCTGCGGGATGGACCGTCGCCGTTCCCGCCGCCGCCGGTGATGTGGTCGGAGCCGAAAAGCACACCCATGCCGCCGATGGCGACGAGGATGCCCAGGATCTGGGCCCAGTGGTAGCGGACGCGGAGGAAGAGAAAGGAGATGATCACGACAACGACGATGGCCCAGAAGTTGATGAGTTGCGCGCTTAGGATTGTTGTGTATTTGTAGGCGAGGACGATGAAGTAATTGCCCTCGACGTCGCAGAAGGCGAGGATGATGTACTTCCAGGCATCCTTTTGGATGACGCGAAGCCAGCGTTTGAGGCCGTAGCGATAGATGGTGTAGCTGGTGAAGACGAGGTTGAGGAGGACGTAGTTGAAGAGCGACTGGAAGGCTGGAATTGAGGTGTGGATGTTGGAGAGGAGCTGGGAGAAGGTGTTTGTGGAAGTGATGCAGAGGGCGAGAATTTGCCTGTTATTTCTCGCGCAAAGTTAGAAATCAGGCGTTTACATTGGAATAAAGGGAGGAAAGGGATTTTTGAACGAATGGACTGCTAACCCAAGTACAAGTACGATATAGAACTCTCTCGTGTGGAAGTAGGCGAAATAACCCGTCTTGCTTTTATCTACAAGATCGGCTACAGCTGGGTCTCCGCCTGGCCTCGCTTCCTGCCCACCATCCGCATCGACACCACGAGAATCCCTGCGGAAGTCCATATCCCCATTCGATATCGCATGATTCAAATCAACACCCTTTGTTTGGACATGGGTGAGGTCCGTACGCTCAGCCATAGTCATCAAACTTGCTTGCTCTCGTAGCGCAGCGGTAGCAAACCAAGATAGAAGGTATATAGAAATTGAAATAAGATACGGAAAAAGAGAAGGATATGGTTCTAGCAATTGGAGCTTTATAGGCAAAGCAAGCGCAAAGCTCCTGAAGTCGCTTGCTATGGGGAATTGGATTCCCGTGGGAAGGGGGAGAGGGAGGGATGAAGGTGGGATGGAGGAGGAAGCAAAAGAAAACTTTTCCCATATGTGTGCTCGGCAGTCCGTGCACCAATGAGGTCACCGGGCCCCGATCAATCAGATAACAAGCTAAGCGGAACGGCTGGATTAGCGTGGGGATGCATCTGTTACTGTAGTTCCATCGAGAGGTGCAGAAGCACGGAATCAATCCTCCCAGAGTGAAATGCCTTTCGCCCATATCGTCATCACCACCACCATTACTAACTATTCATAGTAGTACTTTTTCTCGGCTATATGCAAGGAGAGCTTCCGATAGCCACCCTGCAGTACTAAGAGCTAGCTGGACGCATGATGTCTACATCCAACCACACCTCCAGGGGAACCTTTTATCGTCTGCCCTGGTCTTGGGTCACCTTGAGGGACGATCGTGTGTAGAGAGAACCCCGTACTCCTGGGATCAGCTGGGAGACTCCACGTTTGGGCATTATATCTAGGGTCGCTAACTCTTACACTTATATGGTGCGTCGACTCATTCACCAGCGAAATGGTCCTCGGTAGGCAGGAGATTATCCTTTCCCATCACCAGTTCCACTGCTCGCCGTCCTACTGACCC